TAAATTTTGATCCCTGAAATTCCTGGTAATACCAATGTTCACTTTGTCTGGTTTTGTTGCAGCATGCCCCATATATAAAATAGATATGATGACGCCATAATGATGTAATTAATGTAGTGTTACAGTTGTGTCATTTTTTGACTTTCAATAAACCCTCGTTAATTAAAGGAAATCATGTGATTTATGACGTTCCCCTGGATTTCAAAAAAGGTAAAAAGGTCATATGAATTGGTGACTATTTAAAATTCTTTTGCAGATAAAAAAAATTATTTAAAAAATGACAAATTCCAATTTTGATAAAGAATTTTTAGATTTACAAAAACGGCTTGAAAAATTAAAACAGCCAAATACTATATCTCAAGTTACGTAAGTTTTTTAGTTTTTTAATGATTGTTCAATTTAGGGAAAAAGGAAAAAAAAATATCAAGTCCAAATATTTTTTGTATTTAGAGATGAAGAATTATCTAAACGGTTTTCCGAATTATTTGAAAAGACCACAGTTAAAACTTCAAATAGCATTAATAACACTGACACTAAAGAAATTGTTACAAACTCATTAAATGCTAATAGTGATAATAAGTCTTATAAGATAATATTAGATAGTAACAATGATAAATTATTGGATGATGAGGTGAATGTATATAATGGATATAAATTGTTGTATTTGCAAATATTTATAAATATTATCTTTTACTGATTAAAATAGATTGAGAAGTTATTATTATCAGAAGAAAATTTATTGTCAAACAATGAAATATTTTCTTTGGTTAATGAGGAAAAGTTAAATTCAGTACTTTCTAAAGTTTTAAATGTAGAAGATAGGAATGAAGAAGATAAGGATGAAGATGAAGATGACATAATCAATCAAATAAAAGACGATATATATTTGGAGAATAAATACAATAAATATGATGGTGATAAGAATAATAAGGATGATGATGATAATAAGGATGATGGTTCAAGGAAATCTAATAATAATAATAAGGATATTATTAATAATACCAAAATTTTAGGACCACCGCCTAAAGCAGTTGATTTGTCAGATTTTATTCTTCCAGATGAAGATGTAGAGGATTGGTGCTGTAAGTTATCCGTCGTATTCATCACAAATCATATTAATCCAATATATTCATTACATAATATCTATTCAATAACATTTTAGGTATTTGTAATGAAGATGCCACAATTAGATGTAAAAATTGCGACAATGATTTGTATTGCAAAAATTGTTTTAACGAAGGTCATCTTAGTAAAGAATCAGATTTTGAAATGAAATTTCATAAATACGAAAAATATGAAAAAAGAAATACGAGTAAATAAACGTTTTAGTTAGGCCACATGTTTTCAATGTGTAATTATTATTATTTAGCTAGTACTAGGAGGGAAATTATGTGACAAATTTCTTATTAATTTCCTTTTAAATGTAAAACCGATTGATTGTACTTCCAAATTCACAAACAAAAATAAAAAAATAAAAAACATATAAAAATAAAGATGAAAAATATTTAAGGTTTGTTTTGGTTTTTTTTTCTTTAATTTCAATTTTTCTTATTTACCAGAAATTGATTGAATAAGCTATTACAACAGTATCAATATTGGAAATTCTTGTAAAGCCTCACTGCACCGCCGCCGCATATTCATTAAATAGTTTCATGCGAAAAAAAAACTTGTTATTTTTTCAGATCCCCCTTTTTAAAATTTTTGTGATATATATAAACTATGAATATCAGTGGTGATAATAATTTTTATAAATTTGTAATTTTAGAAAAAAAACCTGTCAAAGAAAAAAATTTAAGCAAGAAAACTCCTATAAAACAAATGAGTGACAATAATATAGTAAATGGTAAAATTTCCGGTCTTGATGATGATGACAGTAAGAAAAAAGAAGTAGGAAAGGAAGAAAATGGAGAAGAAAAGGAAAAAGAAAAGAATGAAAAAGAGAAGAATGAAAAAGAAGAAAAGGAAAAAGAAAAGAATGGAAACGAAGAAAAGAATGGAAACGAAGAAAAGAATGGAAACGAAGAAAAGAATGGAAACGAAGAAAAGAATGGAAAAGAAGAAAAGGAGAAAGAAAAGGAAGAAAAGGGAGAAGTTAAGGTTGAAGATGAAGACGTTAAAGAAGAAACTACCACTGTTCCTGCTAATAATAACATCAGTGATACTAATAACAAAGAGCAAAGTAAAACAATTATTCACAACATTAATATATTGACATTTTGTATTTAATTCAAAAATTATTTATTAAAATAAATTTATTTTCTAGTAAAAACTTTGGAAGTAAACGATAAACAAAATTCGCAGCCAATTGTCAACAATGTAAATAATAGTAAAGAACATCAACAAAGTGAGCCTATTTCACCAAACTCAGTAATTTCAACAACTTCAGGCGAACCAAAGAAATTTGATTTTATGAAAAAATTTGTCTCAAAATTTGTTAATCCAAGTGTTGGCACTAATGCGGGCAATAATTTTACTGCTAATAATGATTCTACTTCCCGATCCCCCGAGTCACATCCTATTCAAACACCTGTCACAGACATTCCTCCTTTAACATTAGATTCTAAATTTCAAAATTCTTCTGTAGACACTACCACCAATACAAACGACAACAATTTATCTAATATAACAGAAGAAGAACGTTATGAAAGTCCAAAAGAAATAAAGATTGAAAACAATAAAGTTAATGATGTTCAAGCTCATGAAGTGGTTGAATCCGGTCAACCAGTAACACCTACTAATAATGAAGCAAATACACGAAGTCCAAGTCAATTTTCTAAGATCACCAATAGATTAGGCAATGTTTTTAAACGTTCTGCCACAACTGTTGTGGAGAAATTACGTGAAGAGTTTGATGAATTAGATAGACGTATGTATCTAAAAGAATCTGATATGTATGAAGAAGAATCGGGTATTATAGATGACCAAAATGCTGATATAAAATCTAATGGAATTGCTGAACGTAATCAATTATTAGAAGGATCAAATGTTAATGATAATGAATTAACAAATGGTTTGACTAAACAAACACAGTCAACTCACCAAGCGTTGGCTGAGGCAACAAATGCACTCAATGAACGTGGTGAAAAACTTGACCAAGTTAATGATAAGGTTGAAAGTTTAGCATGCAGTAGTAATGACTTCTTAAGAATGACAAGGGAATTAAGCGAACAACAACAAGCAAAAGATAAAAAATGGTTTCCTTGGTAATTAATTTATTATTCAGTATGTATATATATATCAATAGTTGTAATTATAATATATATCATTCATTACATTTGTTTATTGTTATTATTAATTATATTTATGTAAATAAAAAGATTTCTTTGTGTTTTTTTTTTGATTGTAATACAGTGTGATTCAAAAAAAATGGTGGTTTGTAAAATATTGTTTTTAATGAAAAAGTAGCCAAAATTATGTAATAAAAATTATACCAGAGAATTGGAAGATCTTGGATTATAATATAGAAAAGTTTTGAAGTATATTGTTATGTGGGCTTTAGAGC